TGCCTACAGAACTTACCTGGACTGTGATTTACCTGGACTGTGAGTTAATCTATTGAGACACTGCTTTACCTGGACTGAGACAACAAACTGTAATCTACAACAAATTGTAACTCGGTATCTTTGCTAATGGTGTCATTGCTGGTATAATTTTTCCAAGGGCTTCTTGCATGGAGCCATCAATTGGCTTGGTATTGTGGCATTTTGTATCCTCCCCTCTGCTTGTAGCAGATTGCTTATGATGTTTGTGTAAAAACCACTATGGTCGTTATTTAAATTAAACAAAAGGGGGAAATGTTAGGGTCTGTAAACAAGTGAAGATGGCGCCTGGCATTTTGCCAGAGGGAGTGGTTTGTGAGGTAACGCCAGCGAGCCATTAAGTGTGGAGATTCCTTATTGGTTGACTGCTGTATCTAGTTTATGTTAATGTATATATATACCCCTCCTGTCCTACAATAAACCGCTCCCACTCCTGCTGTATCAACCTACACAAGTTCCTCGTCACCCCTGGCTATTTTGCTGCAGCCGGACTACAGCAGAAGGCCAGCTGGGGCTTTGTTCTAGTGGCCCAGGAACAAAGTATCCTGGTTTGTTTCAGGCAATTTCCTCCTTGGGAGAAGTTGAAAAAAAAAATTGTAGCCCTGGAAGTTAACTATCCTACATGGAGCTTGAACCTATATTGTGGCCTCCTCAGCATAGCCAGTAGCACTGAAGGCAGCCTTTAGTTAATTCCCTTATCACTAAAATTAACCACATTGTAGTACCTTGCATAATTATCTCCACCATACAACTATGAGGTTTGTGAGGGCACAGATCTATGTCTGTCTGCTTCATCTACATGTCCACAGGAGAATGAGGAAAAGGAAAACAAAAAGCCAAACTAAGGTGGCTTTGACATCAGACTGGTTCATAGCACATGATTGTCCCAAACATTCTAGAAAGTGTAAATACTTCCCAACATCCTCACCCAGGGGATACAGGGCAGGAGCAGTTGTCCACAGACATCCATCTCACCAAAAGATCAATGCCTGAAGGCATTAATTCCCCTAAACCTTTTAAAGGGCAGGTTGTATGTGTATGTGTGCATTGGGAAGTAGGGTCAATGAGACCCTTTAGGTCTCTGTAGAATCAGAAAAACAGAAAGAAAAAAAATCAGAATGCAGGGTTCAGGAGAGACACTGTAAGCAATGAGATTGAAAGGACACAACCTCCACAGAGGAGTTAAGACACAAAGATTGGTAGGATCAGCTAGAGATCCTGCTGCCAACATTTATCCAGAAGCCACAGATGATAGTCTGTTTTGATGGTTCCTACTTCCTGGTAGAAGAATTATTCCATGGAGACCAGAACCTCTAACCTAGTAGAGAAATGGGAAGCACAAATTCTACCTCTGAGTTACTGGGAAGCATTGTGAGAAAGGCCAATATTATTTCTACTTCTTGGCTTCCAGGCTCGTGTATTCCAACTATTGAAGGGAGGGGGGGGGGGGTAAGACCATATCTATCAGGAGTTAGTTATATGAATATAAGTATATTGGAAAATGGTACCACAACCTTTTTAGGGTACTTGATCTAAGCAAGGAGTCTTGCTGATGTTCACTAGACCATGCCAATGTTCCATTAGGCATCTACCTATAGATGGCCCAAAGTGCCCAGCGTTCCAACTGCCTTACCATCAGTGCCTTCTTTCGTCAGTGTCAATGTCAGAAAATCCCGTGTCCACGAGAGAATAGTGCTGACAAAGGCACTGTGATCAAGGAAAACTCTTTTCACAAGAGATGTCAACTCCGTAATGATATACTATTTTTCTGCCTTCAATCCTGATGAAATTGTGGCCCCTAACCAAAACAACAATCTCCATAATAAACTCTAGTATTGCCTTTCTTCTTTGTCTCCCTCTCCTTTTTATCTACCATGTTTTCTGAGATAATTTTCCAAACACCATCTGCACACAGGTTCTTGCCTCAAATTCTTGTTAGATGAAAATAAACTAAGGAATATTGTAGACTCTCTGAAAATTAGATGCCCTCAAATTTGGCAGACTCTGATTCATTGCAGGTTTTATCTCCCACTCTGTCACACATGTATCTTCCTATGGTGTAGTACTTACCTCTTGTTCTCTAGATCCAACATATATGTCAAGACCATACAGGACCAATAAGGTAATCTGCAACATTTCATGACAATCAAGGTTCTTGCAAAACTAAATCATAATAGAGAATAGGAGTTATCCCAACCCTAGAAAAAGCCAGTGATTGAGTACTGCTGCTATTTTATAAAGAAGCCAACAGTGTTTTCACACTTTACTGACAAGAACATTATCTAGATAACAAAGACCTTGCTTTTATTCTAGTAAAAATCCCACAGCTTGCACAGTAACTGCTACTGGGCTGTCACGTGGCTAAGTTACAATAGTCCAGATTGGGAGATGTATTGGGGAACCCCTACTTAAGATAACTGTGGTGGCATTCAGGGTTCTTCCTTCAAAGGATCTGTTTCTCCATCAATTGATGAGCCTAGGTGTAAGACTATTTTTACTGAAGCAGCTGATATTAGCCTTTTGCTCACCAGTTCTGTTTGTTTTCCTGATTAGGCAAGGTAAGTGACATGCTTAGGCTATCCATCTATTTCCCCTTTAAGTAACCTGGTTGCCACTCTGCCTTTGCTGCTTTCCATAGTAATTATATCCTCTTGCTTCTGTTGGCTAAAATCTCCTACTGGGTTCCTGCCATTCTATAATCCTATCACCTGTAATGCCCCTCCTAAAATTAGGTAGCCCACGGAAGCATTTCCTTATGTTTCATCTTCATCCTCAATCCACCACAGGTTAGAGCCTTAGTAACAGTGCTGTCACAGCACACCAGGAGGTATCACCACCTTATTTGCCACCAACAGAGTTCAAGTAACCTAGTTCCAGAGTTCTGAGGGTCTGTATTATCAGTATCATCTTACATAAACTTTTTAGCTAAGTATTCCCCAGAAGCTTAACCTAAGAAAACCTACTTGAATGAAAACAGGTTATTTTGCAGATATTCCTAGTAAGAAACAATGAAATAGGGAGAAGGGTACAGACTGTGATAAAAGACTGTGTTCTTGAAGTTGCTGTTATGGGCAACCAGAACTTAGTTTCATTACAACTACCTGAGATATTCACAGAATAGCCTACCAAATTGTTTTGCTGAAGGATATAAAAAATTACCCCAGATGTGTTAAGTTACCAACACTTCAAAGCTGTGCATAGCACACACTGAGAGAGCTACTGATGGTATCTACAAAAGTCAGAAGAACCTTGGGACAGAAAACATTGGTCTGGTAAACTTGAGAGAAATTATTGGGAGAAATGCATGGAAGATAGCAGGATGCTGTCTCCCCCAACCCAAATAAGGCAGAAATCAGAGGTGATGGTGAAAATATGTTAACTGGGGCACTAAAGGAAGGAAACAAGCCCTGAGGAAACAAGCCCTGAAACAAGCCCTGAGGTTGTACCTGAGAGGGCCATGTTCCATGCAGAAGGAACAGTAGATAACAAAGCACTGATGCTTGGTGTGCTTGGAGAGGGTTAGATGGGCTCTTGGAGAGGGTTAGATGGATGAATAGCTTGGACATGACCCACCAAAAACAAGTGATAAGCCAAGGGGCTGTGAACTTGGAGTAAAATTGTTAGTCATCAAAGAGTTCTGAGTAGAGTAGTATATCCTATATCAGATTCTAAAAAGATCACTCCAGCTGTTGAGTGGAACTAAGCTGTAAAGAAATAAAGGGGACACAGAGACTCTGTTTGATGGCTACTGTGATGTTACCTCTTATACTGTAAGTTTTAGAGTACCATTTATGTTCTCGCATGTATCTCATAACTCCTTTGGGGCAGAGAGCTCATAGTTACAATTTACGGTTTATGTATACAACCTAGATGAATGTCCATCGAGAAATAATTATCGAATAAGTAACTGACAGTAATATTAAATCTACATTATTTAATTACAGTATATCACTGAAAGTCTTTGTCTTTTACAATCTCTTTAGAAAATGTAAGTTTTCTAGAGTATTTGTTTCAACATTTGTAAAATGCTGATAACCCTGGCCTACTAAGATCAGTAAGTATTAACCTGAAAATGCCTAATTAGACCTTTTCTTTCTCACCATAGCTGAGAGTAACAATTATCTGCCTTGCTGTAATACGAACCTTCACTTTCATCACAAAACACAAACTCCGCTGGTACTGCAAACTTCCTGAGAAATTTTAAAAGTTCACACAACTGATTGGATTCTGACATTTATATTCATCCAGTCCACCCCTTTCTTGGCACCTGACGCAAGCTCTTAAACACGGACCCTCTTCGTTAGGGTCATTTTTTTTTTTTCTTTTTACATCACTGTTAATATAAAAACCGCTCATCACCTTCAGTGCACCTCGGGGAGTATAGACGTGGCCTTAAGTTTCCAGGGTTAAGAAGCAATCAAAACAGTAGCGAGTTTGACTGGTCCCAGAGAAACTCCGTGGCTGTAGCTACAAGCTGAATCACAAGATCAGAAATCAAGTTTCCCTCCACCCACCCCATCGAAAAGGCAGGTGCGTCCCCGGCGCTGCACCGCCGCATCACCGCATCACCTCCCTGAGCCCGGTGCGGGGAGGAGAACCCAGGGATCTTTAAATCCGGGTCCAACATCCTCCACGTGGCCGCCTTCTCAAATTTCAGTCCAGGGCCGCCTACGCGGAAGTGGCCTCCCCAGAGGGCACCCAGAGGCCTGAGCACACCGGCGATACCCGGGCCCGGAGGCCAGAAACACGCGGGACACTGATAGTGTTCTCAGTGGACCTGCTACAGCGCCGTCCTCTCACGGGCCGGCCCTCCACGGCTGAGCGACTCCCACGCTCCGAAACACACGGAGCCAGCGCTGGAGGCAACGGCGCGCGCGTCGACGTCGGCCCCAGGCCTGGAGGGGGCGGGGTCGCGCTCCTGCGCACGCGCGCAGAGACACGTAAGCGGAAGTGGCGCGTGGGTGCCGGTGATGAGAGCGCCTTCCGGGGAGGCGGCAGCGGCTGTGGAAAGTCCAGAAGTAGGAGAGGAAGCGGAGGAAGAGGAGGTGATGGCGACCAACTTGGGGAGGGGGCGACGTTTCGTCTGGCCGAGGCGCCGTCCGGGCTAAGGTCACCCAGGTGACGAGCCGGTTTGGGGGTGGGCGTGCCCCCGGCGCCCTTCTGGTGTTAGGGACCCAGAATCTCTATCCCTCAAAGACCTTAGACATTGCGGGTGTCCCCCTCGCTGAAGGAGCTTTCTAGGAGCGGGTGAGGTCGGGATGGCAGGAGCGGGCGACTTCCTCTTTAAAAAAGGAGCCGACACCTCCGGGCACGGTTTCCAGGGAGGAGCACCTGTTTCTCCCACACCCGTTACCCTTTAGGGGCCGGCGAGAACGCCTTCAGGCCACCGTGGACTCCCTGGGAGGAGGCCAGCCCCAGGGCTCTCCAGGCTGTGCACCTTTGGGCCTCTGCAGGACTGTGAGGCTCCTGCTTTTCCCCAGGACCATTTGCACTTAAGAATCACTTCCGGGTTCCATGTTTTGAGGGGACTCCACGGTTCTCTGATGCCCATTTCCCTTTCCCTGGAAGGTGACTGACTGTTCTTGCCTTGCTATTGAGTTTATGTCACTAGGAGTTCTGCAAGTTCCTCCAGTCTTTGCGACTGATTTGCTACCTCGTCTGTTTTTCTTTCAAAGGAATGTTGAAAGCAGAAGGGGGAATCATTTGGTGCACTCACAGAATTTTTTAAGATATCGGGCATCTGCATTTCTTATGCAGTAGTAGGTTTCCCTGTATCTAGAAAATCCAACGGATTTTGAAAAACAATGGTTGTGACAGTTTGAAACTTGGAAGAGGATGCAATTACCATTTGAATATAATTTAGGTAGTATTATTTGTACTTAATACATAAAATCCTAATTTTAGCATTTTCCCTTGGGGGGGGASAGTAACAGATTGTATAATGAAGTGTGTAAAAAGAAATGAGACAGAATCTTATTTTGTTTTTTGGTACTCCATAGGCCGTGGTTGATATACAGTGCAGTTAATCAAGGGAAAATTACACTTTTATTTCTAACATTAAGTGTGGCAAAATACGGAGTCATGTTTCTCAGGTTACTTGCATAGTAATGACAGATTTTTCCTTACGTGCTATCCCACCCCACCTCCTTTTTTAAAAATTTTCTTTCTTTTTTTTTTTTTTTTTTTTTGTAGTGGGGGAGTCTTTCAGATTAGAAAAGAGAGATTAAGAAATAACTGACTTTGATTTCCTTAGGTCATTATAAGTCAACACTATCACTTTATAATTTTGAAATATCCAATATGTACTAGAGATGCTACCTTTTAATTCCCTTTTAGCTGTTATTTGTACCTTCAAGGAACTAAAGGTAGATATCTATTTTGAGTTTAGGAAGAGAACTCAGGCAGTGATTCACACTTGTGGTTTTCTATTTTAGTTTCATGGGTTATTGTGAAGTTCTAAGGCAAAGCCAAATATTGTTTGTTTAATTTGAAAACTATTTTTAATTCCTGTTTCACAAAGACATGCTCAATTTCTTTAGAGGTTAGTTTATATCAGTCCTTAATGTTTTAAATGGAAGGGAAATGGCAAACCTTGGGCATCATTACATGTATATAAATCATGCTGAAAGAGGCCTTCATTGGTCATGCATTCTGCTCAGCAGTGTGCAGATTAATAACACAAAACTACATTCTAAAGGCAAAGCATTTAAAGGGTAGGTTTGGTGGTACTGATGCATCAAGCAAGAAAGGGAAAGAAACTTATTTTCATGTTCATTTCAGGTGCTTTGTATTTTTGTTCATGCTTAGAAAGGATAGTGCTGGCGGAATTTAACTGCATATGTGGCCAAGATCTGCAGTTCTGAGGTTGTAAAGAAATATGTTGGGAGAGCTAAAATGATGGAATGCAGCAGAATACTGTTGATTCAGTGATGGTTACTAAAGTGCAAGAGAGTCCTTCATTTAATATCTGATATTTTTATTATATGCTTGAACAGCCTGTGAAAGCAACATCATCTCTTAAGGAACTCATATTTTTGAAGGAAAAGCACACACAAAAGTCATGCCATTATAATTTAGACATTTGTAAATTATGTTTACATATTACATGTACATAAACCATGCTGTAAAGATCTAGAACAGCAATTAGTTTTTAATGTACAAGGTCTTAATCAAAGTTGCAGCATGGCCAAATTTTGTGTTCATCAGTGTGAAAGATGAGGAGATTATACACAATCTAATCTGGAGAAAATGGCTATTTGATGGTAACGTCAAATATTTTAGATATACTTGTGGTTGTAGAGTCAATAGGAATCTTTGCAGGGTGTAAATGTGAGGAATAGGAAAGAATCTTAAGGTAACTCCTGGACTTTTGAGTTTATGTTTCATGCTAAGTAACATTACATGATATTGGGAATATAGGAAGAAGAAAAGATTTGTTTTCAGGGGAAAATAAGTTCATATTAGGCCATATTTAATATATGGTGACAGTAGAATTTCACTGAGATATCAAAGAAGCATTTGGAGAGAGGTCTGGGTAAGAAATACAGATCCATATTTCCAGTTGCACATCAAAGAGTGAATCAGCTTCAGCACAAGAGACCACACCAATGGTATTTCTAAGTAGTTGAATAATTATCACTGTTTTAGTCGGCCTTTTTGCTGCTGTGACTAAAAGCATCCAACCAGAACAATTGTAGGGGAGAAAAGGTTTGTTTAGGGATCCTGGTTTCAGAGCTCTTCATCCATAGTATTCTGGCTGGCTCCATTCCTTGGCTCAAGGTGAGGAGAACATCATGGTGGAAGTGTGTGGCAGAGGGAAACAGTTAACATCAGGAAGCTGAGATTCCACTCTCGAGAACAAAATATATACTCCATAGCTTTGCCCCCAAGAAACCACTTGGTCCAGCCACACCCCACCTGCCTCCAGTTAATGTCCAGTTAATCCCATCATGGATTAATCATCTGATTAGATTAAGATGATTCGATCATTTCTCCTCCAAACTTCACATTGTCTCGTGAACTATTGGGGGATACCACATCTAAACCACAACAATCACTAACATACATGTACTGTCATACCATGTACTGAAGACTTTTACATTTATTTCATATGGTCACGGCAAAAATCCTATGGTAACCATATTTTTAACACTTTTCCCGCCCTATTCCCTTCTTAGAGGTAAGAACTTAAAGCTCAGAAAGGTTAAATAATTTGCCCAAGACTCCCTAGCTAATACATAGCAAAACCCAATCTTGAATTCAGATCTGTCTAAATTAAAGCACAATGCTATACTGCTTTCTTGAAGTATTAGTTAGAATTGTATTCATATGCTTGGCATTTTGCTAAATTACATTCATCACAGAAGAAGGTGACTTTGAGAGAAGTTTACCTTCTGGAGAAGTATTTTGATATGAACAAAAGCAGGAATGAGATTTTATATAAGCTTTATTCTATACATGTGTTTCTCCAAATTCTATAAGATTTTTGCTTACAGGATAAAGCTTGCCAACACCATAGCCCGTTTCAAACAGAGGGTGACGATTACAAACTGAAGTTTGAGAGTATCGAGAGGAAGGACCAGTTTATTTGCTTTATCCAATTATTGGATGCAGAGACTACAAGAATATGAATCTTCTCTTTCATCTGTCTCTTCCCAACTGGGGGAGTTAGGGAGGGTATCACGAAGGAGACATTAAAGTTGAACTTCAAAACCTGACCAGAGAAAGGAGACCAGGTAAAAGGACATCATGACCAGAGGGCAAGATTATTTGAAAGTCCATGATGTTTTAAGAATGAAATATTGGTTTAGGCTTTATTGAAAGACGTGAGAGAAAGGGAGCTTAGAAGCTTATCTTCTGCCAGATATTTTTAACTGGTGCTCTTTGCCCATGCTTAATACATAGCAAATAGTTGTTAAAATTTTTTGTTCTTTATTCAAGCACAGGTTTGATGAAATGTTTAATGAAGATAACTTATTTGTATTATGTTTTTATTAGTACATTTTAATTATACATAACAATGGGGTTCATTGTGATATATTTATATTTGCACATTAAAAAATCTTGCTGCATTTCATTTCCCAGTACTTCCCATTTCATTTCCCTTCCTTCCCCAATCCCTTTCTTTATTTTACTGGTCTTTCTTTTATCTGTTTACTTTTTTACTTGGTGCATTATAATTACATATAAAAGCAGGATTCATTAGAGAAAATAATTTAAAGCAGTTTATAAAGACAATCACATTTCAAGGTTATCCTACAAGACAGTGTAAAAAGTCTTAATTGAGAGAGAACAATGATTGAAACATAATTGAAAAAAAGAACAGAGTACAAGGAAGAAAAAAATAAAGAAAAAGAAACAAAGCAAAACTTTGTAAAACTGCACATTCTCTGTTTAAAAACATAGCACAGACGGTATAAAATAAAGTGTTTTGGTGACTGAAGTGTTCTTAGCTACAAGTTATATTCAGAGCCTCAGCCCTCATTTGAATTAGGGCCTAGTTCATCTTTGTGAATCAGTAAATTGGGAATGATCATACAGGCAACACTAATTCTTACTATTTTAAACCAACAGTTTCTATTAAAAGATTTCCAAGTGAAGCTCACTGTCAAAATTATACTTATCTCTTCAGCCTTTGGTGTATAAATGTTCATTCTCACTGGAATCATAATAGTCTTTTCTAGAAAAAAGGTTTTTCCTCATAAATGTGCTCTAATCTTTAATTGTCATTAAATCTTGAGTCTCTTCAACCTTTACATGGATTTTAAGTTTCAGTTTATTGAAATCCAAAGAGAAATTTGACAGTCTTCCATGATGCCTCATACTTTTTTCCCCCAAAGACTGACAAAAGATGACATATTTTCCAGCCTTTTACACCCCGGAGATTTTTAAAATTAAAATGATCTCCAAAAGAAAAAATATATATTTTAGCCTAAGAAATGTTATTACTAAAACATATTATTCATTCTACAGTCTCTGGTAAATTAGCTTTTTAAGCAACTTACAGTTGGGCGACTTTTAAAATGTTACTGGCAAATAGATTTTACAGTTGTTCTAGTATTTAAAGGAACACCACTTATTCTTTACTGTTCTCCAAGTAAAGATTAACTTTAATGTTGAGAATGTTATGCTTACACTATTGTAGATTCTAAAAGTTATCTACTTACTAGATATGAAACCGTAACCAACCTCCTGCTTAATTCTTTAACAAAACAGATTAGCTTTTGGTTTGTTGCTATGGAATGAGTGTGGTCTATATCCAATTTAGTGATGCAGTTGCTCTCTCAAGTTTATACTCGATAAATTGGCAGTTAGGTGTGGTGGTTTTGGTTGTTAAGAGGCTGTAATTGAGAAGTTAAGATAGTACATCTACAGAATTAGCCTCATCTACACAGTTTTATAGTTTAGATTAGTATTTGGAGCAATACTTTATGATATAAATGTTTTACTTTAATTGCATATTTCCTTCTCTAGGACTCGGCACAGCAAACAGAAGAATTAAACGAAATACAGCAAACCCACAGAGATAACTCTGGAAGCCCTGAATGCAGCAAAATAAGAACAATGGACCTCAAGTTTAACAACTCCAGAAAATACATCTCTATCACCGTGCCATCCAAAACCCAAACAATGTCACCACACATTAAGTCAATTGATGACATTATAGTACTTGGCATAAATCTCAGCAAATTTAACAAACTTACCCAGTTTTTCATATGTGTTGCAGGAGTTTTTGTATTTTACCTAATTTATGGATATTTGCAGGTAAATAGTTATTTGTTTGTAATATGTTAATCATTTATAGCAGTTAATTTCAGTATTAGCACTTACTAAAAATTTTGTCTGTGATATTTTTACTAAGAGTTTACCAGTTGATTTATGAATTTGAATTTTTCATAAATACAAATGGACTTCTTGAAAGGGTTAGTGAAAACAGAGTTTCAGAGTAAATTATTTTAAGTGGGGGAGGGAAGATGATAATCTTGAAAAATTTAAATTATGAAAATATGTTTTTAAATATTCAACAAAATGTAGATATTTGCAGCCGTGTGTTAGTTTTTAAAAAGAAGAAAATTTCAAATATATGTGATACCTGGGAACATAATTTTCCAATAAAATTGTAGCACAATTCTCAATTCTTTGAGCTCAATGATAAAAGTCCTTTTTACAAAAATAGATCATGATATTTTAATTCTATAATAGACAAGTCCTTTTAATCTTTTAATAGTCAAATACTTCTCATTTTAACTTGTATTTTCTCTAATTCCACTTTGCCAGAATCTTATCTGTGATTTTTTGTTTATACAGAACACTTCTAACTAATAGTTTGTTTTGTATTTGCATTGTATTTTAGGATAGTTCTATACATTTGGCCAGCAGCAAATCTCTAACTTTCAAAAACATGGGCTGGATGAGTGAGGATCCTAGCTAGTAAAAATGTTATAGTGGGAATCAGTGTTATTAATGGCCATTTAATTAATGAATGTTTTTATCCTTTAGCAATTTAGATTTTTAATACAACTCCATAAAGTGAGAGAAGCTTTGTAATTCAAGAAAAGGAATGATGTTTTCTGAAAACAGTATTTCTGGCATACATTAATACTAATAAATAGTGATTTCAAAAATATTACTTTTTCATTGTTTTATATAGATGAATTATAAAGATAAATGTAAATAAAGAAGGTAGAATTTTGACTTATTTAGCTAGCTAAGAGACTGCCATGAAGAATATTAATGTAAACCAAAACATGAACTAAAAATATTTACAATTGATTTCATATTAGAAGATCGTATAACTTAAGATATCATTATGAATAAGAGTTAAAAACAGAGATTGGAATTTCTTGTTGAAATTTTTTTATCCTTCAGTATTCCACTGTTAACAAATAGCTTGGCACCAAAGGTACCTATAGCAAAGGAAAATGAATTAAAAATTCACCTTACAATTTCATTAGATGCATTTTTCATATTTGATTAATGATTAAATATTTTCATTAATAACCAGTGAGTGCAGAGTTTTAAATTGGAAAAACCACTGCAAATTCCATTACTTTGTGAAATTGACATTGTTCTTAGCTCTTGTGTCTAATCAGGCATTGAAATAGTTCAAGGAAAATGGTTGAGGTTTGCTAATGTGACATATATATACATGCACACCTGCACATAAGGTAGGCAGTTTGATTTATTCATTTAAAATTAAGCCAGATAATTTCAGTAAAATAACTCTTAATGACTTGTTAAAATGACTTTCTAATAAATGATGTAAATGTGATTTTATGATATAATACTGTGTTTAGGGAAAAGTTGTACATAATCTGGGGCACAAAAATTTTGAAAAATTATGTTATTGATTTGAACTATGTTTCTGTAGAATAGCCCTAAGATGATAGACTTCTAGTGAAATCTGTTCTTTATACGTTCTTGAGTCAGTCACCTCTTTCATTGTTTTGGGCAACTTTTAATTGTGGTGTGTATTTGCTTAAATAAAGCAGCACATCATGTTGCTTTGTATTTTCTGATGATTTTCATACTTGGGTATGTAGGGTCAATTATTGGGGAAAACTAATTTCTCACTTCTCTGAGTTACTATGGGGTGGGAGACTATGGCTTGATTTCTTTTAAAATGTTGTTTTTATGAGAATTTAACAAGAGTAAGTTGGTCTATCCACTTGAACTTAACAGTATCCATATGTCTTTTGACAGGAATTAATATTTTCAGTGGAGGGTTTTAAGTCCTATGGCTGGTACCTTACTTTAGTGCAATTTGCATTTTACTCCATATTTGGCCTAATAGAACTTCAGCTTATTCAGGATAAAAGGAGAAGGTATGTAGCTTGGTTTTTTGTTAGTTAAGTTCACTAGTATTAGTTGACTTCTTTTAGAAAAAATTTAGCTTGTTAAATATGCATGAAATGTATATTTCCTATTAATGTTATCTAATCATGAATTGTTATCAGTATAATCAGCTTAATATAATGTTTTCTTTATACACGGATGCTCAACTTATGGTAAAATATATCTTTTTGAACAGAAATATGTATATTTTTATAAAGTTCACTAAAATAAGTATAATTACAGGAAGGTTTAGGGTGCAGCTGACATGGAAGTAATGGAGTGAAATATCTGTTTTTGTAGTGATTTTTAAAATGTGAAGTTAATGTTTTGTGGGATATATCCAACTAAAATGGCCATGGAACATCCAGTAGCTAAGATTTTCACTCTTAAACATTAGAAAAACATACTTCATTACTTTTTGTTAAAATCTAAGTGGCTGGTTTGATAATATTTTTTAAATTAACAAACATCTAGAAATGAAAAATTTATGGCATATTTAACAACATGCATGGAAACAGTCTCTGATTATGAATAGAAGGTAGTTAGGAATTTGTGAAATTTTGATAAATGTAAGAAGAGTGGTCATTCCTTTATTATCACACCCTAATATTGATTTCACATATCTGTTGTGCAGTTCAAATACAATAAAGACTATAATATGGGCATTCTGTCTTCTTTCATGTAAATGTTTAATCCTTCAGTAAAGTGAAAATTTTTTTTAATTGAAAATTTTTTCATAGCTTTTTTTTAACAAAAAAATGATTTTGAAGTTTGTGTGATGGTAACTGTACAATTTTAAGTATTTAATTCTGTGACATAAGATTCTTCCTGGAAGAATCTGTGACACGAGTTTCTTCACATATCCAGTTTTTGCCTGCGAAACTCTTTACTGCCAATAGACTGTTATAGTAAAATAAAAATATTTGAATCTGAGAATATCATCTTCCTTATTTTCATGCTCTGAAATCATAACATATTGCCATAAATGATAGAATAAAAAGCAATGAAATATATCTATCAAGACTAATATGTAAGGAAACCTGAAGATTTGTTACCTATTGCAAACTCTTGGTTCTCCAGTTGCTTCTAAGGTAAAAAAAAGACAATAATGCCATATTTGTTAAGTGAAAAGTTACACAAAGATGATGTATCTCCTGTCAGATATCAGAAGGAAACACCTCCCGTTAGCTACCTAGATGAGATGGGAGTGGGCCATGTTTATCTCAACCTTTAAGCCATATGACCATAATGTGTTTTTAAAAGATAATTTGATTTAAATGTAAGTGAAAGAATCTGGGAGAAGAATTTACAGACTTAAATGTAATTTTGAATTGAAACTTTTTCCTTCGGAGGCATTTTAAATTTTAAAAACTGTCATTAAAGAAGATACAATGAAAATATGCCCAGTCATGTATTACTTAATATACTTAATATTATAGTAGTTGTTTTTTAAACCTTTAATTAGCTAAACTGTTTGCTTAGGGTTGTATTCCCCCCCCTATATTTATGTAAATAGCTGTGTATAGGAAAGAGAACAGGATTTGAAGTTAGAAAACATGGTTTGGAATCATTTTGGTGCTGTTGCTTATTAGCTCTGGCAGAACCTCAGGGAAGTCACTGAAATTCTCAATTTTTATTGGGAATCAAATGTGGTAATGTGTGTTAACACAAATCATAAACTGTAGCACCCTATATATGCTACTTATTATTTTTCACCAAAGATTAATTCCATTTTTAATTACTTTGATTTTTTTTTTAACAAAGGAGATCTGTCAAATCAGTTTTGAGAGGTTTTTGTTGTGGTTTTTGTTATAGTTTTGACACTACTTCTAAAGAAGTAAGTAATTGAGGTATTAAATAAAATGCAATGAGAATTCTAGAGGCAAAAAGCCAACTTTTTGGTAAAAAGCCAACTTCCTTATTTTATGTATGAGAAAACAAAGACCTACAGACTTGCTGAGATTTTCACGTCTCCTGGGTTTGGGGCTCTTTTTCTTTCTACCTGTGCTATACTGCTTTTCTAATCTTGTAAATTTTTTGACTTGAACTTTAATTTTCTGGCCACCACCACTGTTTTTGTGATGTGTCTGAGGGAATTTGATTTGTATCATTACCAGGGAAACTCACTATATATCTTCACTGATTAGGACAATGAAGTTTACGGACAGTGTGAAAATGTTTTGGGGTACTCTATTGTATAGGAGCATATCACGTTATTTCTAGTGGATTTAAATATTGATTACTGTATTAGTACTTAACTGGGAAAGGTCTCAAAATTGAAATGTAGATGTGATAAATTGTAATTAAGTTTTCCTAGTTAATTATTTTACCTTATGTCTGACCATATAAAAGATATGAGGGATTGTTGTTGCCTTTGTTTAAACATAATCACAAATTTCAAAAGGGAAATTACACTTAAGTATGTAGCATCATCAAATTATGTGAATAGTGACTCATTGTGTTTCTAACACCAGTCTACAACATTATTATTTTAGACCATTAAATATCTAGTCAATGTGAGCATAGGGTCAAATAATGACTTGAAATTCTAAAGATGCTAATAAGGAATCTCCTTTAGGAAATTTAGATAGAGCCGAAAATTAAAAGATTTTGAGATCAGAGAGTCAGATTGTTGTGACATTTTATAGAACACAGAGAGTTGATTTATAAGATAGTATAATAAAAATCATGTCTAGAATTTTAAAGCTCATGCACTTTTTTCCCTAAGAAATTCTGCTTAGGTTTATGCTAGCAGAATGGATAGATAATTTTTTCCTAATGCTAGATGGAAACATTAGGAAACAACAGAACAACAGTTTAGAAGTTAAATTTTTGTTGAAATTATTTTAGGTGCCTTTTACATTATAGAGGCTAATATTTTTTAAAGCAATTTCTTTTTCTAAATTTAGTCAATATTGTTTTTAACTGTAGCTAGAAATACTGTTTAAAACCCTTTGATCAATGTTTATACCTTTAGTAAGAATCTCTAACTTTTTACATAGTTGAGAGTCCTCATTTATGATTAGTTATGATAAAAGCAAATTGTTATTTTATCAGTGTTCTTTTATATAAGTATTTCAACTTTAAGAGTAGTGATAATTTTACTCATATTTACAGAAATATTAACCAGAAATTCGAAAAACAAAATAGTATGAATTGGGTCCCCAAAATGAAGGTTTTAAAAATTGTCTTTTACAGAATACCAGGAAAAACCTACATGATAATAGCTTTTCTAACAGTGGGTACTATGGGGTTATCAAACACTTCCTTGGGCTACCTGAATTATCCCACCCAAGTCATCTTCAAGTGCTGCAAATTGATTCCTGTTATGCTAGGAGGAGTTTTTATTCAAGGTATAGTAATGATATATTTTCATACTATTTGAAACCAGTAGGACATGTTATAGCATCTAGCATTAGGAAAACACTAAGCATCTATCATATTTTAGTGAGTATCTAGGTATCCTAACAGTTATAAGGGTATCTTATAAAAGTAAGGTATTATAAAAAACATAGATACTTCTCTGATAAACCTCATCTGGAATCAATAATTTGGACTTGAGAGAAAAGAATTTTACTTTGAAATGTAGGCATTTCTAGCAATACTGTATTCACATATTAAAGATTTAGCTCAGAAGTACCTGGAAAGTTCCTTTTCTCAATACTTTTATTCTACTCTTCAGAGCCCACACTCAACCATTGTACAGTGGGTAATTGTCATATTAAAATAAGGCTTAGTCTGAATGGGTTACTAACCCTGCTAACTTACTGATGTCTTGGAGCCCCAGCTAAGTTTAAAAAACATGAAAATATGAGAAGAGGATCCACAGCAACTAACAGTATATCAAGGTGTTCTACCTGTTAGCTGTCATGAGGAATATTCATGTTTCAATAATTGTTTCTGTATCACTAAATGTCGTATGTAGCAACATTTTTATTTTATTCCTTCAACGCCTTCCCAATAAGCCTTATACAATGAAAGTGTGTTTTATAGCAACTTGACATATCATCATAGGGCAGTGGTTCATGTGGGAAAAATTTACTTCAATCCATATTAAAAAATCACACTTTGGCAGTCCCTGTTGGGTCCCCTCCCACCCTTCTGGAGCTGTCTCTTTTTTTCTAATTTGAATAAATTCAACTCTATGCTTAAAAACAAAATCAAATCACACTTAACCTGATGAGGCACATATAATATTACTTATAATCCTTAAAAAATTATACTATGTTTCATTTCATTAAATGTGAATATCTCGTGGTATTTATAAACAAGGAAATCTTGCCTTTTAATATAAATCCATTAAAAACACTCATTTCTACAAAAAATTTTTAATACTTTCAAATGCACATTATTCTTGTCAGTGTTCATCAATATACAGTCATGTACTACATTAGATGTTTCAGTCAACAGTGTGCCACATAGGAAGGTAGTCACATATGATAGTATTGCCCAGGGAAATCATAACTGTCGTAGTCTGTGTAAGTATACTCTATGATATTTGCACAGCAATGTAATTACCTAAAGATGGGTTTCTCAGAACATATCCTCGCCATTAAGCAATATATGACCATGTGTATTTTATTCACTATCGTAACAGATGATGTAGGATTCCATTTCTAACTTAAAGACATGCTGTGCCCATTGATCATTTAATCGTCAGAAGCCCTTCTGTGACTGTCTCATCCCTAGATCTAAGTGTTCTTCATATTTTGGACAYTGGATATTAAAAAATAGATCCCAGTTCTATTGGGTTAAGCACATAGGTCTAACATTAGGCTTGATGAATATTCTCATAATGAGGTGGGCTTACCTTTGTTTTGTATAGGAAAGCGTTATAATGTTGCAGATGTCTCTGCTGCCTTATGCATGAGCCTAGGCCTCATCTGGTTTACCCTTGCTGACAGCACAGTTGCACCTAACTTCAATCTGACAGGTAAGGAATTTATAATTCTAAATTTTATAGGCATTTTGGTTTAGAGTAAGAACTTCTAAAATTTCACAAGGATTTTAAATGATGGTATAACATCTGTGATTCACATATCTAACATAAGGCCTTTAGACTTTTATAGGCTATAGTAAAAAATATCACAGCTCTGGAAATGTAAGTTTTTGTAGTACCCTTTATTTCAACATAATGAGGCTGCCCAGTCAAAATCTTTGATGATCAGATGTAGGTTAAGATTAATTTTTTACCTGCTGAATTATAACTGTGCACATGAGTAATAGGGGAAATACAGTAGTCATTGTTTCTACTCCTTAAAAACAAAAACAAAAAACAAAAAACTGAGGACTGAAGATGTAGCTCAGGTTGTGGAGCACTTAGCATACAGGAAGTCCTGGGTTCAGTCTCCAGCACCATCAAACAAACAAACAAACAAACAAAAACTTTGAAACTTGTGCATTTATTGTCAACCTTTGTGCTAAAGGGGAAAGATATGCTGTACTTTAATATTAAACTATGTAATGTATATATGAGTATTACCTGAAAGTGCTTAAATTTTCTACCAAAAAGTTTTCTCTTTAGTGTGTAAAATTTTACAAATTAAAGTTAGATTTGTCAAAAGCAGAAAAATTTTTATAGGATGTGCAAAAATATGAACAAAAAATAAGTGTGGGCATCCTGTTCTTATTCTAGTTTACCTTTCAGATAAATTGTTTTGTGGTATTATTGGGGTTTATTGTATATACAGTGCTGCACTAAAATTATTGAAATAATTTTACTAATAATACTAATTTAGTATCATCTCCTAACTTGACAGACTATTTAAAGTGTCTAGGTCTTCAAAGAAGCTCAGAGAAGAGCAAAAAAGTAATAATATCACCAAGTATAAAGTGTAATTGTTTCTGAGAAAAAATAGTAAACTTTCACATAATGAAAAAAATATGTATTTTCCTAAGAATCAAGACATATTACCAGTTGTCAAGTTTTCCTCAATACCCTGGCTGGCCAGGCTGAGTGAATGGATTTCAATGTAAACAGTTTTGCCTCTCAAAACACCCACAAGAGTCTGGTAGGACCTACTTCGTCTGCTCTTTAAACTTGATTATGAGCACTCACTGCTCATTTAAGAGAATGCTGTGAATTACAGCTGTCCTTGTTATAGTCTATATTTTTCAAGGAATGCTTAATTTTCACAAATCAGAAACTCTAAAGATTGTGAAATCAGCAGGAATTGATTTTTTTTATTATTTAGGAAAAGGCAATGTTGAAAAAGGTACATAATTTGCAATGAGAGTTGTAGATTCAAATTCTCTTTGAATTATTTAAAAATAAACAACCATGAGTAAATTACCACACCTCTTTAAGCTTCACCCATAGAACAAGATAATGATAAGTTGCCTCACACAGAGCTAGTGGGAAGGGGTATTAAGATAAGGGAGTAATGGGTGTGAAGCCACATGCAGTAAAGGAGTGGGAGGTGGGGCTCCTGTGGCACCATAACTTCTCATTGTACCTCTGGTGCTAGCCCCTCCTAAGTTTCAGCTGCATATTTTTGAAGAGAATTAGAACCCAGCCATATTTCATGAAGAATAATTGATGAGCGTTTATCCCTTCTCTGATCTTTGTAGAGTGTATTACCTAAAGAAGATGTGATAAAGTGGCTATTAAAGACAAAACTTTGAAAGGAATAGTATAAACATCCAGACTTGCTAAAATAAAAATTTTCTTTAAAATATTCCCCTTAGAATACAATTAAAGTGTTTTCATGTTATTGCCATTATTTGGAATATTTTGGGGATTATCTTTGAATAGCCTTTCAGGAGGTAGGAAATTCCTTTGAAGATCCTCAAAAACCCATGTCTTTCAATATTTGAAACCAGTAAAAGAGCATTCAGCATCAAGTTTAGTACATAAAAATGTATGATTAGGCAGTAAATAATAAAGCTAGAACTTCTTCCTTAATACAGTAAGTTTTTTCAAACATATAATCTACAGTGAGAGTGAAACTCTTATTTAATGTTGAAATGCAATAATAACAGCATTAGTGTGACTTTTGTTTGTTTTAATATTTTCAACCTGTGTGCTTATTGCATCTGATTGTGGATAAGAATATTTAGCTTTACAGAGCAGGTGTGATTGAAAACCTGCCTTTGCTTTTTAGTCTATTTAACGTCTGCTAGAACTTGATTAAGTAAGGAGACTGTTTCTTTTACCTTCTTGAAGGTGTCATGCTTATTTCCCTGGCACTGTGTGCAGATGCTGTCATTGGAAATGTTCAAGAGAAAGCTATGAAACTGCACAATGCTTCTAATTCTGAAATGGTAAATACTCAAGTGCTTTTTCCTTCATGTCAGACAGATTTAAAAAATGGTAATGTGCTTATTTTTATGAAATAGAATATCAAGGACTTGCCTTGCATTTTTAAACTAATTTATCACTGTTTTCCTAAAGTAATCAGTCAGGCATTATAGGAAGGTAAAAAGAAAAACTACCACTACCACTACTAACAGCTGCCTGTATATTTAATCATGTTTTTCTCATTGATTTATAGTTTTTTTATCCATTTATAGAACCCTTTATATTTTATTTTATTCCCTGCTTTGTATTTAGTGTTATTTTCCATGTAAAAGTTTATAATTTTTATATGGTCCAATTTATCTTTGACTTCTGGCTGGGAATTTTCCTAATTTTAAGATTTTAAATATTTTACCATGTTGTCTGGCATTATGATTTCCTTTTTTTTGTTAAATCCTAATTCAGTCCAAGACTCTAAAAATATTTTTCTTTCATGACTACTCTTTTGTTCCAGTTACATTTATCAAATAAGGCCACTTTCCAGCTTATTTTAAATGCCTTCTTTATAATGTCATATTCTAATGTACAATAGATTTCACTTGAATTTATTTTTGCATCAGTACATATAACAACAGCTTTACCATACATTTGCCATCTGTTAGGACTAGCCAGCATTGTTCCTTTTCTTTTTCAGAACATTACTACCAATAGTAATTCTTGGGTGTCCATACTCCCCCCCAAAAAAAACTAGAAATCCCATTGGTATTGTGATTGGTATGGCATTGAATTATAAATTAATTTAGGGAGAATGGCATCTGTACACTTGATTCTTTCAGTCCAAGAATAAGGTATGACTTTCTTTTATTCAAGTGTTTTTTTTTTAATGTCTATTAGAACTTAACATTTCCATCATATAAATTCAACACAGTTCTTATTAAAGTTATTGTTAGGTGTTTCTTTTGCTGTTATTGTAAATACTTTCTTTTCTTTCAATGTATCTTCTAAATGGTTTTATATCTAGGGAGAGAGAGAGAGTGAGAGCGAGAGCACATTAATCTTATAACCAACAACCTTCATAGACAGAATACATCACCTTAAGGATATAGAGGAGTATTCTTTGCTGTTACTTTCTCAGCACAGACTGGTGCATCTTTAAGTACATCCTAGTAATATAGTAACTTTATTCTTAATCAATAATTTTCTTGATCATTATAACTACTTTTTCTAAGTAAGAAAAAGATGTCCTAAGAGGGAATTATGGAACTGTAGGTGGTTAGAAAGTTAATAAAATGTAGTGGTTAAGATGTTAAACTCTGATAGCCTTAGTTCATATCCTAACTTTACTACCTCATATTTGGGAAAATACATCTCTAAGTTTTAATAACTTCATTTGCAAATTAKTGAGGAACAATAGACTAAAAACACCTGTTGCAACCAGGCATGATGGACACACCTGTAATCCCAGTGGCTTGGGAGGCTGAGACAGAAGGATTGTGAGTTCAAAGCCAGCCTCCGCAACTTAGCAAGACTATGTGTTTAATAAAATATAAAAAAGGCCTGAGGATGTGGTTCAGTGGTTAAGCATCCCTAGGTTCAATCCCCAGTACAAAAAAAAAACAAAAAAAACACTTATAACATATGTTGGTTGTGAGAAATCTATGGAGGAATTCATTTGGAGCAGTACCTGAGACTATTTATGAGGACTGCAATAAACAGAGATAAAATGGTTAGTAGGGAAATTAAGCAATACATTATGCCTTGTTCTGCTTATTTTCAATATATATTAATATCTCTTGTAAACTTAATGTTTGGGGTTCTTTTCATGTTCTATAAGTAACTTTAAGGGTTTCATTTTGATTGTATATATTTTTACAATGCTAATATTAAATCTGGTTTGTATTCAGTAATTAAACTAGGCAAAAAAAAAGAAATAATTATGTACATGTGTAAGAAAGGATTTGTAGTGCTGTTATTTGGTACGTAAGATAACTTGTAGTGTACTTATAATCCATTAGGATCAACCATCATTTCCAGAGAGTTGGGCCAAATGGGAATGATACTGCTACAAAGGTGTTGTTTTGCAAACTTAAATAAATTAACTGAACTCTACTTAAAACCCTCAATTTTCTATTTTGATTTGATAGTGCTCTTTCCCACTTTATCTATTCTAGGTTTTATATTCATATTCAATTGGTTTTGTGTACATATTATTGGGATTGACATGCACTAGTGGATTAAGCCCTGCAGTAACATTTTGTTCAAAGGTAAATACTAATTTCATTTTTTTAAATAAAAATTTTTTCTATAATCTTAATTCTCCTAATTTAAAAAGGCTATTGTTGGTATAATTTGATAACTCCTCTAATATAGTATTGTAGATAAGAAATAAAATGATAGATATTTGAATTTATTTATCCTTGCTATACCCTATTAGTTAATTTTTAAGCAGTTCATAATGTAGAAGTTGAGAATTTTTAATTTCATTATTATTTTTCCATTAAATGAAAACTAAATAATGTTTGCTTGACTGCATTGTTTGTGGCTTATTATTGCTTAAGAAGTTAATTAAAATCTGTGGTTTTAGTTCATTTGTAATATGTCAGGTTTTGTATTTTTTTAATAGGCTTTTTTATTTGTTGCAGAATCCAATTCAGACCTATGGTTATGCATTCCTTTTTTCCCTCACTGGATACTTTGGAATTTCTTTTGTTCTGGCTTTGATTAAAATTTTTGGTGCACTTGTTGCTGTAACAGGTAGGAGGGATTTATTTGCTTAGATAATGAAGTAAGCATTTATGTTTTCTCTGATGATGTTTCCAAAAGACAAAAAAGTTGTTCTGTTACACCAGTTTATTATTTGACTTAATAATTTCTTAAAATTATTATTCTAAAGCAATTGATATTTCAATTTAATTTCTTGTTTTCAAATTTAAAACATTTTTTTTTTCTTTTTTGTGGTGCTGGGGATCAAACCCATGGTCTTACCTGCAGGGCAAGCACTCTTACCATTAAGCTACACCCCAGGCCCTAAAGGCTAAATTTTAAAGAGAAATGTATGCACTTATCCAAATAGTAACTTTTAAATGCATTAAAAGAATTTGCTGTAAAAATATAATGGGACAAATACCTTCAAAGAAAATATTACCTTTATACACTTTTAACTTATTACTGAAATTCCAGTTTCCTTGCCTTTCAAATATGATAGGTTCAATTTAAACCAAGCTTTTAAACCTTTCATTTGTATCTTTTCTAGTACAACAAGGTCTTTCTTTCTTCACTGATAATACTTATGCACCTGCTCAGTGCCAGGACTTTGCTTGGCACTCTAGAGGAAGGAAGCTTGTATTTCTTGTTTTAGAGGAATGTCTAGTCACGTGAGGGGAGTCAGTAACTGGATATGCTTGTCATTTGCCAGAACTGAAATGTGGCCCTTATCTTAACAGTGTAGGCAGTTTTGTTTTGTTTTTTCCTGTTCTGTAAAATCCAGAGGTGGTCATAAATAATACCTACTACACACCATAGCCTTATTATATTGAGAAACCATTCTAGATATCTTATGTCTATTAATTATTTTAATTTTTGCAACAGTCCTAAAAAAGTAGGCTCTATTATTGTTCCATTTTATGGAACATAAAATGGGCAAACTGAGGCACAGGAAAGTTGACTTGTCTGATACTCATCTAGAGACAAGGTTCCAACCAAGGCCATCTGGCTCCATGCCAGTGCTCTTGACCATATTCTGTACTGCCTCCCAAGTACATGTAGTAACTCCATGGTTATCCATAATCCAGTCTCCATCTATCTGCTGGGCCGTCTTCATTCTCCCTCCAGGCAGTGGGATGGAGTAAGGGAAGATGAAAGCTACACCTATCTCTTTATGGAAATCCTTTTAAAAATTGCATTTCTAGAAACATTACTTCAGTTCAAGTGTAACTAGCCACAGCCTAATCACATGACCACACTTACATGAAGGAGAGACTAGAATTATATGAGCTAAAAACAGGTTCTTTTACCAAAAATAGATCCTGGAAATAAAGCACTGGCACATGTTGCCGTAAGTTTCTTCATTTGGTGTTCATTCAGTCATGCCTTGAATATTGAGTGCCAACAGACTGTGGAGTGTGAGGATCCAAGGATGAGGAAGGGGAAAAACTACAGCACATGGGCTGACAGCAGCTGGCTCTGCAACATGGAGGAAAGGCTGCAATGCAGATGTGTGCAGTGCCTACCTCTGCCTGGGACAAGGGAGAAAGGTTTCAGCCTTATGGCACACTTCCAGCTGTAACCCCTAGAAGGACAGGGAAAAGTTAATACAGACATGTAAAGAGGATTGTAAAAATTATTCAGTCTTATCCAGAGATCACCATTTTTAAAATAGTTTTATGTCCTTTTCTATTTTTAACAAAGAAGCCCACTCTACCTAATCACATCCTCCTTAGGAGAGAAAGCCGTTCTATTCTACTGAACTGTCTTTAAGGGATGGTGTGGCTCCACAGTACCATAGCGTCCACTGCACACTTCCTACAGCTGTCCTTTAGCATTTCACCGTATTAAATATTCATGCTTCCCCACAAAGCCATAAACACAATAGCAGGAATAGGGCCTGGTTGTTTGGTTTTTGCTTTGCATTGTTCTTGGCATCTCACATAGATCCTGGCATGTAGCTGGCTATAAATATTTGTTGAATACAGATGACTTCCAAAATGTTACCATGCTAAGAGGCACTTTCTAATCAATTTTTTTACTCCTACAGTGACAACAGGAAGAAAAGCAATGACCATTGTACTTTCCTTTATATTCTTTGCTAAACCATTCACATTTCAGTAAGTACTTTTAATTGCAATAAATTTCTCTATTTTTAGATATCATTTCACATTTCTTCTTAAATATCCTTATTTTCAACTTTTTTACCTTTTTTGCAGAAAATGTATTAATTTTGTTTCGCTCTAAAGGTTTTATTTTATTTTTTAATTTATTTATTTTAATTAGGTATATATGACAGCAGAATGCRTTTTGATTCATTGTACACAATTGTGGCACAACTTTTCATTTCTCTGGTAGGGCACAATGTAGCATCACACCATATGTGCAGTCATACACTTACGGTAATTCCACCATGTTTCCTGCCCCTATACCTCCTCCCCATTTCTTCCTCCCCTTTGCCCAAAGTTCCTCTATTTTTCCCATGCCCCTCTCACCATTGTGGATCGGCATCCACTTATCAGAGAGAACATTAGGCCTTTGGTTTTTTGGGATTGGCTTACTTCACTAAGCATGATATTCTCCAACTCCATCCATTTAACTGCAAATTAAAAGAGAATAATTTTATTCTCTTTTAATATTGAGTAATATTCTATTGTGTAGAACAGTTTCTTTATCATTCATCTATTGAAGGGCATCTAGTTTGGTTCCACAGTTTAGCTATTGTGAATTGAGACTGCTGTAAACATTGATATGGCTATGTTACTATAATATGCTGATTTTAAGTCCTTTGAGTATAGACCGAGGAGTGAGATAGCGGGGTCAAATGGTAGTTCCATTCCAAGTTTTCTAAGGAATCCCCATACTGCTTTCCATATTGGTAGCACCAGTTTGCAGTCCCACCAATAATTTATGAGTATCCCCTTTCCCCCACATCCTCTCTAACACTTATTGTCTGTATTCTTGATAACTGCCATTCTGACTGGTGTAAGATGAAATCTTACAGTAGTTTTGATTTGCATTTTTTAACTACTAGAGATGTTGAACATTTTTTTTTCATATGTTTGTTAATTAAATGTATATCTTCTTATAAGAAGTGTCTGGTCAGCTTCTTAGCCCATTTATTGAATGGGTTGGATTTTTTTTTTTTTTGGTAGTGGTTTTTACAGTAAATTAATGTGGGATTTTTTTCCTGTTATGCTCTATAAGGAATTGTTTTCATTTTGACCTCTTATTGATGTGTCTTTTTCTGTTTTAGAAATGTTTATAATTTGTTATTTCAAATTTGTCATTTCGTATATTTAAATTGCCAAAACAGAACCCAGTGCAAATGTGACCCTATTTCCTATATGAATGTGTACACTGTTGACATTAAGGGATTACCTAATGCCCTGGTACAAATTAGTAAATACATATTTACAGTATGTGTTTTTAAAAACTACTTGTATATTTATGGCCTTTTTCACAAAGGATTTAAAGTAGAGAAGTACTCTGTAAGTTGTGTCCTATTGACTTAGTTTGTGGCTTTTTGTGAAATTGCTTACTGTTCTCTTTTTTGAGTGGTATTTGTTTGAAAATAGCATCATGAATACTTGATACAGAACTTTAAAGGTAACCTAAAATAAGTTTCCATCAGTGTTTAACAGATTATTAAATTGATAATAAATTGATTTTCCTTTCTGCATGGGCTAGGTGTACATTATAGTAATTAAATTATGCTTACATGTCCCTTTTTATCCTTTTGTATTCTGTACAACTGGAATAGCTGGTTGTACTGTGGAGTTGAATTCCCAAGATGGCCTTTAGTAGATTTGTATACTCAGTATTTTAAGCATAGTCTTAATACTTTGGTGACAGTAGTACTCTATGCTATTATCCACAAAGTTCAGATGAACCTCATTGCATATGATACCTGGTATTTTTTATATCATAAAAGATGGAATTCAAGCTAATCAGATATAAGAATACTATGTATTTTCATGCTGTTATCACAGGCGTCTAATACCAAAAAATTTATTTCATTGAAGAAATATTGTAGACTGATTATCAAATTCTTTTGTTAGCAAAAATTATTACCTTGTGAAGTTTAATATTCTTTTTTCCTTATTTCTTTCATTTAGGTATGTATGGTCTGGTTTATTAGTTGTCCTTGGCATATTTCTCAATGTTTACAGCAAAAATATGGATAAAATAAGACTACCCTCGCCGTATGATCTGATAAACAAGTCAGTGATTGTAAGAAAGTCAAGGACGTTGGCACAAACTGTATAGGTACTGATTTGTCCTGTTTAGAATTTTAAGGGAACAATCAATCAACTTTCCAAAAGGACTGTGATAAAAACAACCAAAGGATCTGAAGGCATGTTTTGCATTTCTGGATGATTGCATATGAATAGTGTTGTGGTATCAGCTGTTCTTCAGAGCACCTGTTTGACTGACTTCTGATGCAATCAAGAACCACATCTAGCACACCTTGCAATAAAATGTCTACATGAAGGACTGACTACTCCCTAGCAGTTTCTTGAGAAGTTCACTGGAAATGGACCATGACACAAGACTTTTTGGATATCATTATGAATACCAAACGCTGATATGTAATAGCACATTGTTTTGTCTTCATTCCATTTTGGTGGTATTTAAATTGATTCTCTGTTATAAGAGTAACTTATGATTTAAAGTTTGGAGAGAATAACATTCATTATAAATAAAATAATCTTATGATTTTTTAAAAGAATATGTTAATAGAATTTTGTTATAAAGACAGAAGTGAAAGTAATAAGATTTAACATGAGCTTTAAAACCTTGGTCGGTCTCTTATGAGAATATTCTTCTGAGAAAACATGCCTTAAGTTTTATGTAGGATATAGGCAAGATAGTAAAAGCAGTCATCATCCTGTGTCATGTAAGTTTGCATCACACAAATAATTTGCTACTCTTTACAAAAGAAGTAGAGAATAAATGATTAATTGAAAGGAAAGAAATGTCAAGTTATTATAAAATAATGAAATTTTCTAGTTTATCTTGTAAAAGTAAGATGTAATTTGGAAATTCAAAGATGAAGTAGGATAAATTTAAGAAATACAAGTAGATTTAGCAAACTTGGGCAATATTTTCTCTCAGTCCATTCAGGCTACTAAAAAGATACCATAAAATACCATACACCAGATAACTTATAAACACCCAGAATTTCTCACAATTCTAGATTCTGGGCAGCCTAAGAGCAAGATACTAGCAGATTTGGTGTATGATGAGGGCTGCTTCCTGATCCTTCAATGGTGCCTTCTTGCTGTGTCCTCATATAGTAGGTGCTAATCCCTTCACCAGTGCTTTCTGCCCTCATGACTAAATCACCTCCCAGAGTCCACCTCCTCATCCTATCACATTACAAGGTAGGATTTTAACACATGATTTGGGGTGACATAAACTTTCTTATGATAGTGATGTTGTTCACATAGTTTTTAAACTAAAGATTTTGACCCTTTTACACATTTATTTTTGGAATTGCTTCCACAATTAAAAATTCTAGCCAGGCATGGTGATGTACACCTGTAACCCCCGAAGCTGGGGAGGCTGAAGCAGGAGGAACATGAGTTCAAAGCCAGCCTCAGTAAAAGCAAGGTGCTAAGCAACTCAGTAAGACCCTGTCTCTAAATAAAATGCAAAATAGTATTGGGGATATGGCCCAGTGGTTGAGTGCCCATGAATTTAATCCCTGGTACCCCTCATCCCCCAAAATTATATTTACCTTCATTTTCAATATAGTCTGTGGTGATGGAAGTATCTAGCACAAGGAATTCTGCTTTGGTTTTTATGTGTCCCATTTGTTAATTATTGTGGGAATCATTTTTAAGTTTTCATATCTTAAATGGAACCAGTCAACTCCTGTGGGTTCAGATTTGACCTAGAGATAAACTGGCCTAGACATAATTCTCATTAAGACCATGTTGTACAATGAGGGATTTGACTGGGCAAATTATCCCTTGTTCCTGGGAGACAACCTCTAAATCCTTGGAATTCCTCAAGTGATGAAGGTGTTAGTATTCATGATCATCCCTTAGGGAGTTTCAGGGTTGAAGCTGGCCATGCTAGAAAGACCATAGAATTGGATCTTTGAGCCACATGCTATCAGCCCAGCCTCTAAGGAAAGGAGGTAAGCATTTAGGAATTGATTTGAACATCTGGGAACTGATTTTTTTGCATATGTTCTGAAAAAGGTTGTTAATGTATATCTTAATTGCAAAGAATATTTTTTGAGGGGCTGGGGTTGTGGCTCAGTGGTAGAGCGCTTGCCTAGCACATGCAAGGTGCTGGGTTTGATCCTCAGCACCACATAAAAATGAAGAAATAAAATAAAGGTATAAAAAATATTTTTGAATCTGTAGCCAGAAAATATTTATAAAAGCAAGTAACCTTTACTGTCTAAAAGCTACAAGGAATTATTGCTGGATTTAGAAAAATAGTAGAATCAAAAATTTGCAGTGGCATCGTTGACACAAGGTCTAACTAGGTCTGTGGTCAGGGGACTAGTGAGAATACTAAGTCACAGACATACACTGAAATTCTACACATTACTCTTCCTTACGTTAAATTATTTTGTTAACTTATTTCTTAGCAGTGTGCAAACTCTTACAGAAGTGAAACACAGGTAGTATTTTGTGTGCCTGTTTGTAATTCTGAGGACTTGTAGCTTTACAAAGTTTCAAGAACATTTAATTGACTATTCCCTTTCTTTCCCCATTCCTCTACATGTTGCTGATTCTACTTTTATCTCCATTTTTCTGAGCTGCCCTGTCATGGTTTCCATTTCTGCTGTCTTGCTACTTCTGGGAAGTCTCTCATTCCTGTCTTTAGTTGCACTGCTCTGTTCTGCATCTGTTCACCCTGCCTCATTCCATTCATTGTGGTGGTATTTTTGATATTTCAATTATATATTTATACCTAGTATTTCCACTTGAATTTTTTTTTTTTTTTTTTACTTCTTGGTTTTATTTAAGGATGCCAGTATTTTTCCTTGTCTTTACCATGGTTCTTGTAAATCATGGGGCCCCTGTCCTAATCATTCTGCTTCTGATGGCAGATACTTTTTCAGTTGTGTTTTGCAGTTATCAGACACCCCAGCATAACTATTGGTAGTTTCTCTCCAACTGCCTTCTGCATTTTTGCTCTCCTCTGCTTTCAGTCCAAAGTTAGGACAGCCTCAGTCTCCCCAAGACCTCGATTTTTGGTATTGTTTTGTTTTTTTCCTAGAATCCACCTGTCTGTCTGTTCATCTAAATCAATCAACCCCACCTCCCATTTTAGCAAGGTAGGTTTTGGAAAGGAAACTTCTTCCAACTCTTTGTCATAATGGTTTATACTACTGATTCACAGATTTACCAGTCAGTTACATATAAATAAATGTTGCTTATAGGCTGCAACATTCTGATTCAATTTTATTTCAGAATTTTTTTCATTTAACAATTTAAATTGGTAGAATTCAAACTTAAACAGTAAGATTTGTAATGGTTTACAATTTAAATACGGATTTCAAATCTGACAAAAATGAAATGATGGAAATATAAAATATTCAGTTCTAGCAATAAACTTGCTTCATATTATGTCTAATTAGGTGAGGTCATTTTTAATCCATACGTATAATCATTTAAGATTACAAAACTTTACTTTAAAACTTTGATTATTTGAGATGACACCAGTTCATATGGCTTGTAGGAGTTCCTAGTTCTGTCACCTGGTATATATCATTAATAAAAATAAATAATACAAGGTAGGCAGGAAAGAAATAATTTGTGTCTCACAGACATAAAAATAGGCTTCAGGAAGATCAATGATGTACCTAAGATTGACATGTAGCAAGTGGCAGAATGGGCCTGAGTCAGTGTCTTTGAACCTGGACCCTAATGCCTCTCTGATGACCCACTATTCCAGAACCCATTCCCTTTCCAGCCCACCACACCAGAAGGTTAGAATTGACATCCTGCAACTGTTTGCCCTCTGAAAGGACATAACATTGATTACTTGCCGTCTCTGTCACACTTAAACTGGACAAGACTTTCCAAGGACTTTTGTAGACCATCCTGCTGGTGTACCTAACAACCCACCAAAGGGGACTCTTCTCCAACCAGGCTTTGGGAGGATGGACATACAGTAGTATAGTGAAAAAATATTCTCTGCCTGTTATTCTTGATCAGCCAGATGCACCTGTGCATGAGGGAGGTGGCTGTGTTAGAGGTAGACCCCTCAAGTAGTCCTACCTGCAACGGATGGGCTCAACCACAGAGAGGTGCTTAGGGTCAACTTGGAGAGGGGGATAGAATGAAAGGACCAACCCAAATCCAAGTTTCAGTTGAAGTGGGTCCTGAGCAAGAAGCCAGACAAATGTAGTCAAGACAAGCTGGAAACAAAATATCAGGCAGAAGCTTAGTCATGAGAAAAGGTAGAGAAGGTGGGATGCAAAGTCATGAGGAAAACAAAGGGAATCTGACTCCTAGAGCTTTGAACTCCAATGACCTCTTGTCCTCCCTGTAAGAGATCAAGATGGGACTAAACCTAACAACAAGGGGGCAGGGATTGAAGGTCATTAGCAATGGAAATTTTTAAGAGATGGAATATAGGAACCAGATAAGGAGTTTTGCTTAATAATTTTATACAACTCTACTGTTAGCTGGAATCATTGTTACCACAACAAGTAAGGAGAGAATCTAGCATTACAAATCAGCACTTCTGAATGATTGTCGGTAATGAGAGCTGGCATAAATTGCTTAATTTTCCTATGCTTCTTCCACCACATTGAAAAAGAGGTGATGAAAACTACCTCTCCATTACTGGATTCTCTTACTTAGGATAGCTCTGTTGTAAGTGGTACGTAATTTGAAATTATTCTATTTAGAACTCAAGCATACAACTTCAATGGTATGATTTGTCTATTATCTTCCAAATAGGCGTGACTATTGAAATGTCTACCACGCGGCCTGCGCAGTGGTTTCATTAATGAGGTTCTAGGCATAAAGTTAGTTAGACGAGATCGAAATAAAAACACAAGACTCAATTACCTTAATTCTATTGCTAGGTCCGAGACGGCTCCCCTCTCTGGTTCGCTCCTCTAGCCGCCCAGCAGGGCAGCAAGGAATACTCAGGGCTAGCAGGAGAGAGAGCGAGCACGCCGGGGAGTAGCCTTTTATTAGGGAACCAGAGATTCAGGGGAGAATTCCATCCAATGAAGGTTGAGGGGGGGCTGCACTCCAAGGTCAGGGTCAGCGATTGGGTCCCCGGGGTCAGTGGTCAGGCACACCCCCACACGGATGGGCTCTCTCATCAGGAGAGGGACGGGAAAAACTTCGACATTTGCCAAAGTGCCTCAGACCCTCAACGGGAGGCACCCGATCACGTGTGAGAATGGCGTCCCACAGAAATGAAGTGGTTATAATATCTAGGCTTTGCTTTAGCCACATGAACAGGAACTTTTCCTGGCCAGCAGAGCATTATCATAAGTGGTTCATCTCTGATTTTCTAAAAGACATTGACACAAATGTACCCAAATTAATAGTGCCATCTCAACTGTCTTTTCAGAGAGGTGAATAATAGCATGGAACCACATGGCCCACCACAGAAATATGGATTATCAGCAACTGTGACAACACTGAGAAAAATAGTAAGCTTTTTTTCTTTTACCTAGCGA